TGGTCTTTTTGATGATAGCCATTCTGACAGGTGTGAGGTGATAGCTCATCGTGGTTTTGATGTTAGTTCTCTTCTCTGTCTATACTCATTCCTTTGATCTTATCCAGTCGTGGTTTTAAGCACCATTTACCCTAGTCTAGACCTCTCCTCTAAACTCCTGACTCCTAAATCCAACTGTTGGCTCAGATTTCTAATAGACACCTCAAACTAACAGAACTCATGATTTTCATCCCTTTTAATCTGCTCCATCCACAGCCTTCCTTAATTCACTTATTGGCACATAAAACCTTCATAATGTTCAGGCCAAAACCCTGCAAATCATCTTTAATCATCATCCTCCCTTTTTTTTTTTTCTTTTTTTTTTTTGCATCCAGCTCCAATCCTTCAGGAAATCCCGTTAGCCCTAGTGTCAGAATATAGTTCCCAGATCCAACTACTTCTCAGGGCCCTCACTGCATCCACTCTGGTCCCATCCACCACCATCCACCTCCTGGATTACTATGTAGCTCCTAACTTGTCTCCCCTACAGCCTCTTGTCACCACAGGAGCCAGAGTTGCCCTTTTACAACATGTGTCAGATCATGTCACTCCCGCTCAAAACCATGCAGGGGCTCCGCATCTCACACAGAGTAAAAGTCTACAAGGTGTGCTGAGGCCCCTCCGCCCCCAGGCTACTCTCTGACTTCATCCTCTGGCTCACTCTGCTCCTGCCGGGCTGGCTCCTTTGCTCTGTCTTCAGCACACCAGGCCCATTCCCCCTGGGGACCTCTACTGGTGCTCACTCTGCCCAGAATGCTCATACCACAGATGTCTGCGCCTCCTTCAGGTTTTTGCTCAAATGCCTCATCCTCATTGAAGTGTACCCTCAACCTACCACGTTTACAATTGCGACCCCCTCTCCAGCTGTCCCGATCCCCCTTACCCTGCTCTTCCATAGCATTTTGACCTGTTAATATACTAAACAATTCACTTATTGTCTGTATATATATTTAGTTTTTTAATTGGAGTATAGTTCCATATATTTTTTTATTGATAATCTCCGCCAACTAGAATGCATTTTTCCTGAGGAACAGAAATCTTCATTTTATTTACTGATGTATTCCAAATGCCTAGAACTGTGCCTGGCACATAGCAATGCCCAATGACAAATTTTTTTTTGCGGTACATGGGCCTCTCACTGTTGTGGCCTCTCCCGTTGCGGAGCACAGCTCCAGACGTGCAGGCTCAGCGGCCATGGCTCACGGGCCCAGCCGCTCCGCGGCATGTGGGATCTTCCTGGACCGGGGCACGAAACCGTGTCCCCTGCATCGGCAGGCGGACTCTCAACCACTGCGCCACCAGGGAAGCCCCGACAAAATTTTTAATAAATGAAGGCATGGGCGGAATCCTTTCACAATGTATATGGATGTCAAATCATCACATTGTACACGTTAAATATCTTACAATTTTATTTGTCAATTATACCTCAATAAAACTGCAAAAAAATTAATCTTTTCCTGAAAATATCATTTCCCTAGCATAAAAACCTAAAAATTAAAGGAAATCTTTTGACTTCAAGTAACATAAAGTAGGGTTTGGGGTCAGTGAAAATAAATACACAAATACATAAAACATACATAAATGCATAGAAAGAGTCTGAATGTATATAAAATAACCCATTAACCATAGATATTTCTGGTAGAAGGATCATGGATAAAATTTTTTCTTTTTGTTCATCTGTTTTCCAATTTTTCTATAATAAAATTGAATTACTTTAATAATAAAGTTTCCAATGAAAAAATAGGTTTACTCCTGTGGATGATAGCAGTTTTAATATTTTTTTTTTAGTCTGCAGTTTGCCCACAGAAGAGAATAGGTAAGATGGTGGAGATGTGGGAAAGGCACCCACTCACGTCATCGTGAAGACCCCCTGCCCAGACAGTGCAAGAAATTCTGTCTCAATTTGCGTTTCCCCAGAAGCAGACCCAGCAAGGGGTTATCAGAGAGGTGGCAGGGTGGGGACACTGAGACAGACAAGAGACAGAAACGAATAAAGACAAGGCTGTCAGGCCACGTCCACTAGGGGCAACCAAGACTCCATCCCATGGACGAACCCAGTGCAGAGAGTGCCTCAGTTATCCCATCCTAGGCGGGAATTTATCCTCCGACAGTGGTTGAGGGCTGTTTTGCGGGGCATTAATTCCCTTGCACTTCTGTCGTGTCCCCTGTCCTACAGCCAGGAAAAAAAAAAAAAAAGTCTCAGGTAGAGGGTTGCAGGTGTGGGCAGTCAGTAGATTTCTCCAAGTCGAGGTGAAAGCCAAGGGAACGTGGCTGGGCGCTGAGAGGGTCTGCAACAATTCCTTGGTTAAGTCTCTGATTTTGCTCTCTGGGCAGAGTTCCCTTGTCCATTGCCCTCCGTGGCTCTTGGATGTGCCCTCTGCCGGGGTTCTTCCTGGTCCGTTATCTCCAAGGCCGCATGTGAGGTGAGCAGTATGGACAGTGCCCTCCTGCAGAGACTGTAGCTTGCTTCCCCCAGTGCGTCTTTGGGTACCCAAGGACTGATTCACGGCTTGGGCAACCAAAGTTTTTGTAGTCTGAGTTCAAGAACTCTTTGGCCCCCTCCCCGTGTCCTCAAGTCCATTCTCTACATCTGCATCTTTATTCCTGTCCTGCCCCTAGGTTCATCAGAACCTTTTTTTTTTTTCGATTCCATATATATGTGTTAGCATACGGTTTTTGTTTTTCTCTTTCTGACTTACTTCACTCTGTATGACAGACTCTAGACGAAGTGAGAGAGTGGCATGGACATATATACACTACCAAATGTAAAACAGATAGCTAGTGGGAAGCAGCTGCATAGCACAGGGAGATCAGCTCAGTGCTTTGTGACCACCTAGAGGGGTGGGATAGGGAGGGTGGGAGGGAGACGCAAGAAGGAGGGGATATGGGGATTATGTATACATATAGCTGATGCACTTTGTTATACAGCAGAAACTAACACAATATTGTAAAGCAATTATACTCCAATAAAGATGTTAAAAAAAAACTCTTAAAAAAAACCCAGAATTCTTTGGCCATACAATTCCCTCAAATATTTAGTAAGCTTCTGAAATCTTTCTTTGCAGTCATTTGCACGTGACAGTATGCACACCTAGGGTTCTTTACCAGACACAATTCTCAAGCCTGATTTACCTCTTTGCACCCTAACCCCTAGACTTCTCTCCTCCAACTTAATGGAAACCATCTTGAAGCCCGCTGGGAAAGAAATTGGCCTGAGCGTGAAGAGAGCAACCTTAAACGATTTTTGCTACAGTGGTGAGACCAGGTATTGAGAAGTCCTAACGGGCTTTTGCTGCTCAGAGCCTTTTTTTTTTTTCTCTATGTGATCACTTACTCTTAGGGCTCAAAGCGGAAGGCTCCAGATTTCTGGACTCATCCTATCCCTTTCATTTCTGTTCTTGAACCAGCCAATAGTTTCCTGAGCTTGACTCTTCCTTGTACAGACTCCCTAAGCAAAGCCAATAAGAACAGGGAATTCCCTGGAGGTCCAGTGGCTAGGACTCTACCGTTCCACTGCAGGGGCCATGGGTTCGATTCCTGGTCAGGGAACTAAGATCCTGCAAGCCACACCGTGTGGCCAAAAAACAAAACAAGCAAACAAACAAAAAAACCCAAAAAAAACCCCTAACACTGACTTTGTGTTTTCCAACCTCTTCTAGAGCCACTGGCTTGGTACATACTTTGCTCATGAAGAAATCTAGGACAACAGTTATTTTAAGTAATTTGCTATTATCTTCATCTTTTCTGCCTCCAGTACCAATTTTCTTACCTTCCCCACCGTGCTACATGTTTTAGGATCCCCAATGCAAGGGAGTACATTTTGTATTAACGATGATAAAACCACCTTCTGTACAAATAAACCCAAGAATTTTGATGGCTTGACACAATCAAAGTTTTGTTCTCTCTCATGAAATAGAGCTGGGTGGCAACCAGGCCAATGGGGCGCCCTCCTCCCTGGAGTCATTCAAGGATTCAGGATATCAAAAGCAAAACCCCCTTCAACATGTGGTTTCCAAGGTCACCCTGGGGGTCATGTCCATTCCATGTCCATTCCAGCCAATCAGAGACTAGAAGAGCATGGACGAGCTCCAGTGGGAGGATGGTGAGTCTCATAAAGTTTCCCCTCCCATCTCATTTTCTAGAACTCAGTCCCATGGCTCCATGTAGATGTAAGGGGCAGCGTGAAAGGACGTATTCCTGGCTTTGTAGTCACAGTGCTATGCTATGGAAAGGAGGGAACCAATTTTTCTGTTGACAGCACATCTCCCACAATTTAAAGCAAAAAATATATAAATAATGCAGACTCTAAGCTCTCTTCACTACACTCCCAGCCCTTTCCCTAATTATTTCTTTGGACTCACTGGAATGGGGGAATTGGTCAGGGTGCTGTCCTTGGGCTTGAGGTGAGGGACCTTCTTCACCTGATTCAATCTGAGAAGGAAGCAAGGAAGGAACCGGCAGGGTGTCTTTAAATAACTGCTCCCTTTTCTATTTTGGTAAAAATCCTTCTCTGACTGAGCAATTACTAACTACTGGCTTTCAGGATCGTTTTTTTTTAAACAAATAAATTGAAAAACGGAAGCACTTTGCTTCCCTGAGAGTAGGCAGAGGAATGACGGCAGGAAGTAGGAGTCTGGAACGGCGCTTATGCAGTGGGACAATTTTCCCATTAATTACTTCTCACTTGAATAACAGGACATGGGAGGTGGGCTGTTTGCTGTCGCTAATGGCACACTGCAGGATAGGTATTGCCTGATACAGAGACAGGGCTGGGGACAGCCACTCCGGGGGCCATCGTAAAACCAGTTTTATGGAAGAAGCCACTGAAACCAAACCCAATCAAACATGGAATTCTCTCCAGCGGCACCAACCCCACTCTTTTCAAATTCATTCCCTCACAGAAGCCCCAGGCATTCTCAGCCTAGAGGGAACCAGAGCAAATAAATTTTCCTCTCTGTAGAATGTGGACTTTTGTGATTTAGATGATCAGTGTCTTACACACACAGCTGACTATCTACTCAGATCCAGTGACCCTGATCAAATCAATCCACACAGATGAGGGTCTGGTTTATACAAAAGGGAGGGAGTTGCTCACCGGGCAAAATAATTCATTCCCTACTCTAACGTGTTTTTTTGTTTTTTTTTTTTTATGAAGACCTGACTCATGGTGCATTGAAAACACAGTGCAGTTCACCCTCAACTTGTCAAAGTTCCAGCAGTTGTGTAAAGTGTCCGCCCTGCAATAACGTAAGGACCTCAGCCCCGGGCTCCAGGGCTCCGGGCAGCCCAGCTGTCACTGCCACGAACAGGTGGTGTAAACAATAGCTTGGTTCAGCTCACTCACTTGCCAAACCCTCCAGCAGCTGAGTGTCCAGCCAGAGAGCGGCCCAGGCGAACACCCCACCACCAGCCCATGGAGCCCCGGCCACTGCTGCTGTTCCTTGGCCTCTGCTCAGGTAAGTGCCAGGGCTGCTCCTTTGAGGCTAAAACACTAGAAGCCCCCGAACCAGAGTCTTGCTTCTTTGATGGGAACACAGAACGGCAGGACTTCACCAGCCCCGGGCTGCTCTGTCCGTTTCTCACCGATGTTGGCTTGATTGGGTTTGTGGATAAAGAGTTTTAGTTGGGTTATCCAATTAAAATAGGAGCTGCCTGGTCAAAAGCTACAAAGTAGACATGCAATCTCTCTTTCCTTCAGTGCCTGCATCTTAGTAAATCCGTATGATCTGATTCAGCACCTCTTCTACCATCCCGGAGCTGCTATCGTAGTTGAACAAATATAGGAACATAGAAGGGTGACTTATAATCACAAGCAGTATGGTTAACAAGTCTTTTTATGGCTCTAGGAGAATTCTGAAAATGAAGAGGATAGATTGACAGCTCCATGTGCTGGAGGGAGAAACCTTTTCATAACTGTAACTAAACTCTCTCCATGAGAGATGAAATATTTTGTAATTTTTTTAACTTCTGAAGCTAAAAAAAAAATCATATGAATGCATTACGGCCTACTTTTTTTTTTTAAAAGGACACTACTATATGTAGGTTTGGGTTTGAATCGAAACCATAAAACCTTGCACAGCCCTTGACCTGCGTTCAACTCTGGAATGTGTCACAACGCAGCAGCTGAAAAGCTATCCTGAATCCCAAACTTCCGGTCGAGGGAAATAGATGTTTGCTGATTGCTTCATATAAAAGTTTACTGGTGATATCATCTCAACTGAGAAACAAGGCGACTGACATTCTGTGATTTCTCTTCTCTAATACTGCTCTGACAAACACAGGTCTTCTGGGCAAGAGAGGTGAAGAGCTGTATTATAAATGGTTTTCAATAGCAGAGTTGAACAAATAGCCTAAACTCTGATAAACTATATCCTCTGGGATTTGGACTCGATCCAACCAAAGCTGGCTTGGTGGTAATGGTGGTGGTGGTGTGTGTGTGTGTGTTTGCAAACACTACACTCAATGGAAATTCTTAAGTGATATGTTTGTATATAAAAATCCTTAAGAGGTCTTTTAGGACACCAAAGATCTCCAAAAATGCAAGTTTAGCTCTTTTTTGAAGTATGTGATATGTATTTAGATCAAACCTAGAGTTTGCTGGTGTCAATTCACACGGATAGTTAACAGAAATTTAGAGCAAGACGAGGCAATCCAACATCTTCAAATTTATATTATAGGGAAACTGAGGCTAAAAGACATGAACTGACCTTCTCAAAGTCACTTCATGTACAAACTTTGGAATGCGATCAGACTCCATTTTTTTATGTGCATGGTCAGAAAACACAGCCTGAAATTGAAAAGGTAGCAAGAAACACAGCACCAGGTTGAGATAAGAATTACCCAAGGTGACCATTAACAGGACAGAATTCCATTTGTCCAACCCACGAAGGTGTGCCCCACATAAAAATATAGATTGGACTAGTATGGGACAAAAGAACACTTTAAAATTGTGGCTGGGTTCCCCTACTTAGATTCAGTCCTTTGGGGGCAAAAGTGAGGGACACTTTTTCCCGTGTTAGCGTAACACATAATGATCTCTGTTCTATTTTTATAGCACTTTCATTATAACCTTTCCTCTCCCCCAGCTCAGGAATCCCAAGCACGTCATTACCACCTTTCTTACGGCATATTACTTTCCAGCTTGTTTACAGTTATTTATGTAAATGGAAAATATCAATGTCCATGAAGGAAGGAAGACAGGATCTGTATCAGATTCATGTTGGAAAACCTCAAAGCTACTCAAACAATGCTTTGCACGCAGCAAATGTTCAACGAATATGTGAATGAATTAACGTTACCACCATCTGAATAGGGATGACCAGCATGATTTGGCTGAAAAGGGAGACTCTGACATTATGTATGTGTTTGTCTGTGTTTGTTAATTTACATCCTGCCTTTTAAAGAAAGTATTTACTGTGATTTATTGAATCCGTGAAGAGATGGTCCAATTCTCCAGACCATACTGGAGTTGGGAACAGAATCCTAGAATTCTGAGTTCAGGTCCTATAAGTTTTCTATCACTCTACCCCGCTTTGGGGAGGAAAAAAGAAAAGAATACCAACGAATATGGTCTAAGAAATGGAGACCTCCTTAGAAATTCCTTAGAAGTTCATTACGAAAGGCACAAGGTCCCTTGGCCTTGGTGAGGGTGCAGAGGAAGAAGTGAGTATCCCTGGAACCCCGACCGTGCCTGGCTCCCCAGTGGTCCCTACTCCCTAGCAGAACTTAGGGTTGGCCCGCATAGTTTTCCTGTCACAGAACGCTGAGCATCTGCTCTCTCTGTTGCTTTCTAGTATGTTCTTCCTGTCAAACTGGAATAAACGGTCACTTAAAAATAAGCAGCCCAAGGTAACACCAAAGCGATAACCTCAAACCCAGTGGCCAAGGCACTCAGTGATCCACGCCAGTCCCCCACTGCTCCCACCGTGGGCTAGGCGGGTCCCAAGATAGACAAGGTGTGGAGGACAGAGGACAGCTGCATCCCAGGGGCTCAGTGGGGCACCTGCAAAACCTGGGTCTTTGGACAACATGCTGCTCTAAGGGTCCTCAAATGCAGGTAGTTTGGGGGAGATGCCACATGAAAGCTCTGCACAGACCCTTTTAGGTTCAGAAAATTTGGGAAACTAGAAATGAAGAGGTAGGCTAGGTAAGGCATTCAGTATATAGAGTCCAGGAAGGTCATAATAAAGATATCTGAGCTATACTGAAACCTTCAAAAATCCGAATGGACATGATACATTGGCCTTTAGGGAGGTGGTAAAGAGCACAGGCCCTCTCGTCAGACGGCCTCCACTTATAATCCCACCTCTAACTAGCTGGGAGCCATGAATACATGACTCAGCTCTCCAGACCTCAGTTTTCCCATCTGTGAAGTAGGAGTAAAGACTGACCTCATAGGATTTTTATAAGGATTCAATAAGGTAATACAAATACAGGACCTTTAATAAAGCTCTACAGGTTAATTAAAACACATACTTTCGGGAGCATGAACATGTTTCAATTCATTCCATAACATTGGTTGTTTCAAACTGATATAAAGTTCTGGATGAGAAACAGTGGTTGAGAGCATGGGCTCTGGGTGTCAATCCTGGCTCCACCATTTATGAAATCTGGGCCTCAATTTCCTCATCTGTAAAGTGAGGATGATTATAGTACATACCACACCCAGTTATGAGGATTGAAAGACTTAGTACATATAAAGCACACAGAAGAAGGTCTGGCACAAAACAAGTTGGGTGTGTTCGTTATTATTTTTGTTGATCAATAAAGATAGAAAACAGAATTAGTTTTTACTTAATAATTATTTTGTTGGCAAATGCTTCCAAACTTAGGATCGAAGGAGGAAAAAAACACAACCAATCACCTGCCTTAGCGGTGATCGGTTAACACAACTGGGAAAAAAGGGAAAGCATCTCACTTGTTTCATTTTTAAAGTTGTCTTGGCCCAGGGAAAAAGTGTAGTTTCAGCAACAACCTGCGGAAGGGGAGATCTGGTTACACGAATCCGGACAAACGGATTGTGTGTCTACTTCCTCTCCCAGCCCTGAACAGGCAACCTCCAGACCACAGCAGGCTTGAGTTACAGAGATCCTTCATAAGGAACTTGTTGGAATTTGGAACACATTTTCTCATAGGAATAATGGCACATGTAGCTGTACAGTTTCCAGCACATTCATAACATTAAAAGGGAGTACAGGAGCACGGCACAGAATGACCGGCTCTAACTTCAGCTCTGCCCTAGCCGCATGACCTCAGACAAGTCAGCCCACTTCTCGGAATCTCAGGCGAGAATGTCTGCCTGCCTGCCTGCCTGCTGGTAAGGAGCACATCACGCTGGACACACAAAGCCTGTGGGCTCTGAGAATACTGGATGATACTGCCCTCCATCCCGAAGGAAAACGTAGTAAAGATTCCTTGGAATCATTCATGCTCCAAATAGGAGCCCCAAACCCAGGTCAGCAGGACATGTGGTTTTCACTCTTAGCAACTTAATTGGGACATGGGCCCATCAGCAGTGATTATTTTTTTTATTTTTCAAATTATGGAAAAATACATAAGTATGTAAGATTTACCATGGTAAAATACACATGACATAAAATTTCCATTTTAAAGTACACAATCCAGTGGTACTAGGTACGTTCACAAAGTTACGCAAGCATCACCACTAATTCCAGAACTTTTTCATCACCCTAGAAGGAAACCCTGGGCCCATTAGCAGTCACTCCCATTCCCCAGTCCCCACAGTCCCTAGTAACCACTAACCTACTCTCTGTTCTACGGATTGACCTATTCTGAATATTTCATATACATGAAATCATACAATACGTGCCCTTTTTTGTCTGACTTCTATCCCTTAGCATAATGTTTTCAGGAGTCATTCATGCTGTAGCGTGTATCAGAACTTCATCCCTTTTCATGGCTGAATAATATTCTACTGCATAGATATACCACAATTTGTTTATCCATTTATCCACTGATGGACACGTGGGTTGTTTCTACCGTATCGCTATTGTAAATATTGCTATGAATATTCATGTACAGATTTTTTGTTTGCTTTGGGGGTTTTTTGTTTGTATTTTTTTTTTTAAATTGAAGTATAGTTGATTTACAATACTGTGTTAGTTTCAAGTGTACAGCACAGTGATTCAGTCATATATATATGTATGTATATTCCTTTACAGATTCTTTTCCTTTAGAGAATATTGAGTGTAATGCCCAGTAGGTCCTTGTTGGTTATCTATTTTATATATAGTAGTGTGTATACGTTAATCCCAACCTCCTAATTTATACACCCCCCACCCCATGTACAAATCTTTGTATGACCAGTTCGTTTGTGGATATACCCAGGAATGGCATTACTAGGTCATATGGTAGCTCTGTGTATAACTTGTGTGAGAAACCACCAAACTGCTTTCCACAGCAGCTACACCATTTACCTCTCAACAGCAACATATGAGGATTCCAGTTTCTCTGTAAGGATTCCAGTTTCTCACCAATATTTGTCAATTTTAATTTTGTTAATTATGGAATAACATCTTAGTGGGTGTGAATCAGCATCAGTTTTGGGCTGTTCATAGCATCAGGAGCTCTGAGGCCAGCCAATCTGAGATTTCATTGCATCATGACCAGATTCTGAAATACCAAGACCGACTTTGTGTGGACCTTTCTTCTTGTGTGTGCGTGTTCCTAGCAAACTTGATGCAGACAGATGCTGGATGAAGGAATGTCATCTGTCCAAAGTACAAGTGCATGATAATCTGGCATGCCCCACTGGGAAGGGACCACATTGGCAGCTGCACTTGGAAAGGAATTCAAGGCAATAATAGCTGCGTCAGGGAGCCCTTCAACAAGGGGGCCTGCGTGCCTTCCATGAGTTGGCCACACCTCAGTTACTGTGTGTAGAAGGTGGGAGCAGACACTGACAGTGAGCGTGTTGTTTGCTGTCTCAGCTGGCCTCGTCCTGGGTTCCGAACATGAGACCCGCCTGGTGGCAAAGCTATTTGAAAACTACAACAGCGTAGTACGGCCCGTGGAAGACCACCGCAAGGCCGTGGAGGTGACGGTGGGCCTGCAGCTGATACAGCTCATCAATGTGGTGAGACAAGAGAGCTCCAGGCTCTCCACACCTCCCACCCCGGACCATCCTCCCCTGGCTCCCCTCTTGTCCTCCTAAAGATGGGGCCTTATCTTTTTTGCAGGATGAAGTAAATCAGATCGTGACAACCAATGTTCGTCTGAAACAGGTAACTCAGCTAGATAATTGCATTCATGTTGCTTTTATTCACCCTGAAATTTAACATGGGCCCAGAGGGAATCAATTTAGGTAACAGGGATATGTACCAAAATGTTAAAAGTAGATATTTTGGGGTAGTGGGGCTGTGGATCATGTTTTGGTGTTTATTTTTTATTGTACTTTGTGCTTTTTCTGTGTGTATTAATTTGCTAGGACTCCTGGAACAAAGTCACAACCTGGACAGCTTAAACAACAGAAACTTATTGTCTCACAGTTTTTGAGGTCAGAAGTCCAAAATTAAGGTGTTGGCAGAATTGGTTCCTTCTGAAGTTTGTGAGGGAGAACCTGCTCCAGGCCTCTCTCCTTTGCTCAGAATTCGTTGTCTTCATGTTCACATGACTTTATTCCTGAATATGTATCTGTCTTCAAATGTCCCTATCTTATAAGGACACCAGTCATATTGGATTAGGGCCCACCTTAATGACTTCACTTTAACTTAATTACCTCTGTAAAGACCCTAACTCCAAATAAGGTCACATTCTTGGGGGTTTAGAACTTCATATTAATTTGGGGGAGACAATTCAACACTGTGTTATCCAAATTTGCTGCATTGGGTATATGTTACTTTCATAATGTAGAAGAAAATATAATACTTTTTAAAAATATGATGTTGCCTGCTTGAGGAAAACATTCCCAATAGGGTCATTCTCCTTTCCTAAGGTGGGAGTGTACCTGGTAGATCTGCTACCACTTGGTGGCGTTACTTGGGGCTACCTTTGTTTTCTCACCTGTAAAATGGGGTCAATAATCACTCCTACCTCATGGGAACATTGTGAGGACTAAATGATGAATATGGGTAAAATGCTTACAACAGTGCCTGCATGTACTCAGTGCCCTGTGTTGGCTCTTACTTGTTACTAAGGGGAAAACTGAATTCTGAATCAAAACCTTCTTACTGGAACACAATTTCTGTCCATACCTGAATTGCCATGCTCATCAGAGCTCTTGATAAGCCTAGATTTTAAAAATATTTTTAGTTTTTTAATCTACTAAATGTCTTCATTTCTAGCAATGGGTGGATTACAACTTAAAATGGAACCCAGACGACTATGGTGGCGTGAAAAAAATTCACATTCCATCGGAAAAGATCTGGCGCCCGGACCTAGTTCTTTATAACAAGTAAGCAAAACAGACAGGATGAGAAGGCGGACATTACGGGGGCAGGTGGAGCCCAAGTGCCCTAACGGAAGGGCTGCCACTCTTGGCATGCGTCTCACCACTGTTCACATTAAATAACCCTTAAAAACCAAGAGCCAAGTTGACATGCTAGGGGTGCCATATGGTGTCTCGTGTTATGAATAGAAACAATTATCAGAGCCAAATTGAAACAGGGCTGCAGGGTGGGGGACATTTAATCCCTGAGAGCTCCTGTAGGGTATATGGCAACTATCCAAGGAACCCAAACATCATATAATTGAGTTCCTTGGAATTAAATGTCCTTCCGACCAATAGGTCTGAACCTCCTGGGGTTGTTATTCATCACATCCTCACAGCATCCCAAGATGCCGCGTGCTGCTGATGGCCTGGGATGCCTATGTAGCCCATCCACTGGGCTCTGTGACAGACTGCATGTTGTGAAATTATAATGTGATTCAAGACACTCCAATTTAATGACACGTTCATTATCATACGCCCTTCATTTGTCAGGGAATGTTCATTGCAAAGAGCATCCTTCCCAGGCAGGAGCATTCAACACTGGCCTAGAGGATTTGTGGTCTGACATTCTATAGCACGTGTCTGGAGCGAGCAGGCTGTGCGTTCTAGCAGACTCACCAGGCAAGGTGGCCAGGGCTAGTGAGCAGAAATGATACCTTTTAAGACGACCCTCCCCAACTTTGATATTTTATTACATATTTTCCAATCCGACCTGGGATTCAAACTTGAGTCAAAGTACATAATCATTTGTGTAAACTTTTGGACAAGTATGCTCATAGGACAGAGTGTCTATCTCTCAGAGTTAAGTTTCTCTTTCACTTAGAATCTGAGGGAAGCAATTAAAATCCTCAGGTCCTTTTGATAAGCTCACTCAGAAAGACCCTCATGGGGGAAAGAATCCTGTTTCACCTGCTTCGAAGGACAGACATAGACCATCCTTTCCCTCTGCTCTGCTGGGAGGGTCTCAAGCTGCATAGTTTTCTGGATAGAGCCTCTTCTCAGTCCCAAGGAAAAGTTAATGAGAAGAAAATCTCTCGATTTATGAAGTGAGGCACAATATATACCGCGTGTCCCTGAAAGCCCAGCAAGGTAGACCCCGCCCACTTTTCAGCACCTATTATACCGTCCTGCTCTCTGCCAAGGCCCTGGGGCACAGGCTGTTCTGGAATGAGCAGACCACCCACTGAACAAGACCTGCAGAAATAGTTTGTTATTTTTTTAGTATCTACCATGTTGCCTTTTTTAATGAGAAATTATTGCCAACATTTGAAAATTAGGAAATACATTAAAATCTGAATTTTTAACTTCTCTAGAAAAATCCAACTTTCAAAAATATGGCAACTTTGGGGCTTCCCCGGTGGCGCAGTGGTTGAGAGTCCACCTGCTGATGCAGGGGACACGGGGTTCGTGCCCCGGTCCGGGAAGATCCCACATGCCGCGGAGCGGCTGGGCCCGTGAGCCATGGCCGCTGAGCCTGCGCGTCCGGAGCCTGTGCTCCGCAAAGGGAGAGGCCCCAACAGTGAAAAAGAAAAAAAAAGGCGACCTTGGATTAAAAGTCTTGATTCCCAGCTTCCAAGGAAGAATCCAATATCAGGCAACATGGAGCCTTCGCTCCCACGCAGACACCATGGCAGAGCTGAGTGGTGCCTTCCTCAGGGGAGAGAGGGTCTCTCCCCATGCCAGGCTCAACCCTCCCTCCTTCCTTGCCTGCCTGGCCCTGGAGGCATCTGAGTTTGTGACCCCACCCCACTGCGGTCTAAATAGTTCTTTAAAGGTAACAGACCCCTTCTTTAACGTGCTTGTCACCGTAATGAGCCACTAGACGTGTTTTTCTTTAAAATTCCTGGGTTTTTTCTCAATTAACTTTCAAAGTATATCAGAGAAGGGATACATGGAGATTAACATCACAAATACTACTGAGGACTGGGAAGAAGAATCTGGGACGCAGTGAATCCATGTCACCTGTTATTCCTTTAAAACTGTAGATTCTCGGGTTCATCCCTAGATATCCTGATTCAGCACTCAGATGGTGCTCAGGAATCTATATTTTGTTTTACTTTATTTTTTATTGAAGTGTAGTTGATTTATAATATTGTGTTAGTTGTAGGTATAGAGCATAGTGATTCAGATTTTTTGCAGCTTATATTCCATTATAGGTTATTACAAGATATTGAATATAATTCCCTGTGCTATACACTAAATCCCTGTTGCTTATCTATTTTAAGTAGAGTAGTTTGTATCCGTTAATCCCATACTCCTAATTTGTCCCTCTCCCTCCTTCTCCCCTTTGGTAACCATAAGTTTGTTTTCTGTATCTGTGAGTCTGTTTTTGTTCTGTAAAGATTCACTTGTATTATTTTTTAGATTCAGGAATCTATATTTTAAACAAGCACCCCAGTGATCTTTATTATCAGACAAATTTGAAAAACATTGCCACAGATAAAAAGCGATGCAGTGCAAAAGAGAGCTTCTATAATTAGCACCTGAATAATTAACAACTGTCTCCCGTTAGCATCCCCAAGCAGAATTGAAGGCTCATCTGTCACTTGGATCCCTGTTCCTCTTTTATCCCAATTGTAGTGCAGATGGTGACTTTGCCATTGTCAAGTTCACCAAAGTGCTCCTGGACTACACTGGCCACATCACGTGGACACCTCCCGCCATCTTCAAAAGCTACTGTGAGATCATCGTCACCCACTTTCCCTTTGACGAACAGAACTGCAGCATGAAGCTGGGCACCTGGACCTATGACGGATCCGTGGTGGCCATCAACCCGGTGGGTGGTGACCTACTGTGAGGAGGTTGGATGCAGGAAAAGCGTGATTCAGGTCTCCAACTCTGCCCCTCCATTATCATAGGCTCTCAGCACCCATTCGAACTTTGGGGATTGTCTAGTTTGATGGTTCTCAATTGGTTGGGAAGGTTCTTGATGCACTGCATAAGAGAACCACCTGGGGCTTAAATAATTCTCTATGCCCAGGCTCAGGCCCAAGAATTCTTATTTAATCAGACTGGGGTGGAGCTAGGGCACCAATATATTTTAAAGCTCCCAAGTGACTTGAATGTATAGTCAACATGGAGAATCCCAACAGTCCAAACCCCCTTATTTTACAGGAAAGGAACCTAAGACCCCAAAGCGAAGGTGACCCAGGGTCCCTCCTGGGTATGTGACAGTGCTGGGATCGGTTGCCTTGTCACAGCTGATTAGGAAACCCTCCCCCTCCTCAGGGTGATGAGGCTGGGAATTCAAAGTTTCATTCCATCTTCTCAGGAAAGCGACCAGCCAGACCTAAGCAACTTCATGGAGAGTGGGGAATGGGTGATCAAGGAGTCCCGGGGCTGGAAGCACTGGGTGTTCTACGCCTGCTGCCCCTCCACCCCCTACCTGGACATCACCTACCACTTTGTCATGCAGCGCCTGCCCCTCTACTTCATCGTCAACGTCATCATTCCCTGCCTGCTCTTCTCCTTCTTAACCGGCCTGGTGTTCTACCTGCCCACGGACTCAGGTGGGTGCAGTTGCCTGCCATGGCAGCAGCTGCTGACCCTGATGGATCTCGGGCTACTATTTTGGGGGAAGCCAGAAATAACCACGGCTAATAAACAAATACAGGCAGACAGACCCAAACCATCGTCCCTGGGAGGATGCGTGTACTGACTGGCCATGTGCAGTGGTGACATTCCAGCTGGGGCCGACTACAGAGCAGGCAGAGAGCTGAACGGGACTCCGAAGATGCGCATACACAGCTCAGTCCGGTTAAGTGAATAACCACCAGCATCTATTTGCTGAATACCTGCTGTGTGCCCCGAAGTGTGCTGGGTAAGGCGTGTATCACAGGCACTACCGGTGCCTCATACCCCATGAAGTCACTTGCTGTACGTGACTGCTCAGGTCTTGCCTCCTTTGCCCACGGCTTGCCCCTTGAAAATAGCTGTTGTGTATCTATTCTCCAGATGGCAGTATCTTTACACACAACCCCATACTTCCCAAGTGGCAATTCTTTCTCCCATATCAGCCTGGACGACTTACTTACCTCCTACTGAGTAATCACATCTGTGACATGATTTCACCAGACACCAACAATCTACAGAAAAGGGGGAAAGGGAACACATATGCCTGCAAGCACGTCACTGCTCTTAAATGATTTACGGCAGACAAGCAGGGAAAAAAGAAAGATGGTAAGGTGGTCCTCAAACTTATGACAGATAACAATTTTATCAAAAGGCCAAAAAAAAAAAAACCCCCACAAAAGTCTAAATCCAACTCTCCAACAAGAAAAAAAAAAACGTACACATTCACTCACTCAACATGTACCGTTTAAACAACTGTTACAAGACAGGGATAAGGTAGAGAACAAGGCAGAATGTTCCCCACAGAACATGTGTTCTAGGGATTGTACTCATTCTTAAACAAATCATCACAAACAAATATCTTTTCACCTTTCCAATCAAATGAAGCTTCTTAAAGTGAAGATAGAACACTCTAGGCAGGGCCATATGGAAACTAATCAGAGTTTCTATAAATATTAAATGATTTATGCTTGAAAAGCATTTAGAACAGTGAGACTGCTTGATAACTGTTAGCTATCGTTATTATCATTCATCAAGAAATTGGATGGACCTTGATCAATATTGGATATTTATAATTCTGTTTTCTTTTTTACCTTTGAAGACTTTCCTACCCACCAGAAACGGACAATTTCTTGTTTGCATCCACTCTGGGTCCTGTGTATATTCCTAGCATCTGGACACATCCAGAATGGGAAAAGCTCCACACTGGAAAGCAGGACCATACGAGGGGTTTCCCAGGACACAAACACCAAGACCAGCCCAAGGAAAGTCCCTCCCAAGGGCTCTCTACTGCATCTGAGCTGGTCAATCCCCACAAAAATATTCCAGTGCCATCCAGCCCCTGGCTTTCTTGTTTCCTTGTCCAACCAGGACACCATCCGGGAATTGTTCACCCTGAAAGTGTAGGGCCTGGAGAAAAGATTCAGGAGAAGGGGAATCCCTCATACCTTAGTATGAAAAACAAAAAAAGTCAAAACAAGAAAAAAAACCCCAAATCATCCCCTTCGATGAAGATGAGAAAGCGAGTGGTGTGAAATCATGGATGTTGTCCTTTCTCGGCTTGGGTCTTGCAGCTTTTTTTTTGCTCCCACAATGAGAAAAAGATACACGTACTTCTGGGCTGCCCATCATCTGCTGGGTAACAAGTAGGCCAGGCTGCAGTTCAGTTTTGTGAGGTTTAAGACATTCTGCTGCGGACGGAAAAACTGCCATCTGGGGTCTCGATTACCACCCAGAACCTCTCTACGTTCCCTGAGTTCCGCCAAGAAACGGAATGCTGGGCAAGAGGTGAAGTAGCATCCCCTGCTTGGCAGCCTCTAATGGAAATGCCTGCCACCTGCCATCACCAGCACAGTTAAGGTGCCAAGGTCTCACAGGAAATTCTGCAGAAAAAATTCCCCACAACGAGACCTTGAGAACATGCCAGTCACAGTCCTCTCACCCTTGGGTTTTGGTGGTGTGCTCATTTGCTAGGGCTGCCTTCACCAAGGACCACAGACTGGTGGCTTAAGCAACAGAGATTTATTTTCCCACAGTGCTGGAGGCTGGAAGTCCAAGATCAAGGAGTCAGCAGGGTTGGTTTCCTCTGAGGCCTCTCTCCTGGGCTTGCAGATGGCTGTCTTCAGCCTGGGTCCTCACATGGCCTTTCCTCTGTGTGTGTCTGTGTCTTAATCTCCTTTTCTGATAAGGACACCAGTCATATTGGATGAGGGCCCACGCTAAGACCTCATTTTAATTGAATTACATCGTTAAAGGCCTATCTCCAAAACAGTCCCTGAGATGCTGGGGCTTAGTGTTTCAACACATAAATTTGGGTGGAAGAACAATTTAGCCCATAACAGGTGGGTTGTGTTTGTTTCTTCTTTTGTCCAGGAGAGAAGATGACTCTGAGCATCTCTGTCCTGCTGTCCTTAACCGTGTTCCTTCTGGTCATTGTGGAGCTGATCCCTTCCACCTCCAGTGCGGTGCCCTTGATTGGGAAGTACATGCTGTTCACCATGGTGTTTGTCATCGCATCCATCATCATCACCGTCATCGTCATCAACACACACCACCGCTCCCCCAGCACCCACGTCATGCCCGAGTGGGTGCGGAAGGTGAGCGAGCAAGGCCCCGGCACACTTTGCCCAGGGCTGCCCCTCCCTCAAGGCATCCGCAGGTCTACTCTTCTGTGTGGCCAGTGGCCTCCTAGGTAACCCTTGTGGGCACTTAGGAACGGAAAGTCCTTTCTGGGCTGTAGGGGTTTTGGGGAAGGAACTTTCTTTGGCTTCTTGCTGGGTATAAATAACTCAAGCAACCGGCCCAGGGAGATAAGAAAACCAGAATTAACAAAGCCCATTCCAAACTCAGCCTTAAAGAATCTCTGATTAGAGAAGATGAATAAATCACTATCCTTTTATTCAAATGCTGTGAAATCTTGAGATGTCTGTTTTTATGTCTTCCAGTTTGTGAACAGACTGCTTATTTTTTTGCTGGTAGAATCATCTGCTGAGACTAGAATAAGGGCTAGAAATTGGGAGTGGGGGTAGGGAGGGGGCTTGATGAGAGATTGTCAAAAAGTTTTAGTGAGGAACTTGGTCTCCAATATTTACATTACTGAATTTTAAAATGTGTTAACATTTCCAATATGTTGGTTCTTTTATACATCTTCACAGAGACACTAACATCCAGTCTTTTGTGCACAATGCAAAAGATTTGTTATGAATTGACAGAGAAACTACCGCTTGCAATGTATTCTTTTGGGAGGAGAGACAGTCCCTGCTTCTCTAAAGGCCAAGTGACTCCTGGCAATACCTATGTTGCATTTCTTCAGGAACACGAAACAGAAGAAAACAGTCTAGCTGTTTTGTGGGGCAGGAAGCTTATATATATATATTTTTTTTTAACGGGAGGGGCCCTTTCTTTAACCTTTTGATCATGAGGACACAGGCCTTGAAAGAGGTGGGTGCCTACAGGGGGTCTGGAAGTTTAAGCTTCATTGGTTTCTTGAGTCAGTAGCTGCACACAGGCTCCCTCCAGTGGCAAGCTGCTGGCATTACAGAATCATCTCTGTTAGCCTTAGTAATTTGACGGGTCACAGGATACAGATGAGCAAGCTCTGAGAAAATCTAGTAGAGTCCTTTTGTTTTAGGGACAAAGAGGCTGAGGCCCAGAGAAGCTGAATAATTCGCCTAAGGTCACATTGCTTATGCAAAATCAGAGTTTGATGCTTGCCCTGCTGACAATAATTCCCATACGTGGACTTTTTAAATTTTGTTATAGGTTTTTATTGACACTATCCCAAATATCATGTTCTTCTCCACGATGAAAAGACCATCCAGAGAAAAACAAGACAAAAAAATTTTTACAGAAGACATTGATATTTCTGACATTTCTGGGAAGCCGGGACCTCCACCCATGGGTTTCCACTCTCCCCTGATCAAACACCCCGAGGTGAAAAGTGCCATTGAGGGCATCAAATACATCGCAGAGACCATGAAGTCAGACCAGGAGTCCAATAACGTAAGCTCTGTGGCTTGAGATCTGCACCTCTTGTTTAAATGGTCAAATGCTCGAGCACAGAGGGATGGGTTTGGCTTGATGGGAAGGTTGGCGTTCAAGGGGCAGCTACTGATGTAAGATGTGCCCAGTGACCCCCTAGGCCATCTTAGCAAGTCATCATATTGTGAATAACCTATTTAAAAAATAAAGATCATAATGCCAGTGGAGGGATGATCAACAGACTGAAGGGCCCCTAGATGATGGATAGCACGAACATCGTGAGTCCATGATCGTCTTACGGAAATTCTAACACATTCCTCTCTCCCAGGCGGCCGAGGAATGGAAGTACGTTGCAATGGTGATGGACCACATTCTCCTCGGAATCTTCATGCTCGTCTGCATCATCGGAACGCTGGCTGTGTTTGCAGGTCGGCTCATTGAATTAAATCAGCAAGGATGAGCAGAAAGCTGAGCTGAAACTCAGCGCCAGGGAAATTCATCTACTTGGATACATGCTCACTTATCAAACATTTAATTTTCTGTATTTATTATTCATGACAAAAGTTTCTGTTTACATAAGGTTATGGCCTCAAAGTGTCTTCACATTGCTTCTCCCTTCACTCCTGCTGTGGCTGCCGGGAGAATGAACCCTTTGCAGTAAATGAATCTGGATTGCTACATGAAGCGTTCATTTCCAACAGTGTCCAGAAGAATTTTGCCCAGGATAACTGAGCTTTTCTGTTAGTTTTTGAAATTTTACGCAAAGAGTCTATCCTTTGCTTAAAAGTCCGTTTTGTACCTTCTACAAAAGCCCCATCTACCAGTCCCAAAAAGATGAAACATTTGACTTGGAGAGAAAGAAAGCAGTAGAAAGACAATAGGACAATTCTAGAGTGGCCACCACAACGCAAACTGCCTCAAAAACTCATGCTTTAAAGTAGGTTTCTAGAACTTGGACGTGAGGGAAGGTCTTCCCAGTCTAATACAGCACCTGAGCTTGATGCTCGGGGTTTGAGGGAAAAGAGGTCCTAACCTGTATTGAGCGTGGGCCCAGGCACTGTGGGAAGGGGCTCGCAGGCATGTTTTTATTTATCCTCAGAACTCTCATGACTGTCCCTGTTTTACAAATGCGGAAACTGAACTTGAGGGAGGTTAAGTTCACGGCCCAAAATAACAAGGAGAACTGACATTTGAACCTAGCCTTGTAGGTTCAAAGCAGCTCTGGGCTGGGCCAGTTCATCTGCTCGCTTGCTCTTTGGATCAACTCTGGCTCCATCTGGGCCATTCTGCGACTCTGGTCAGTGTTTCTGAGAGGTTCAGTCCTAGTGTCAGCCATCTTTCTGCCTTCCCAATTAAACCGCCTGCCTTTTCCCCCAGTCCTTACCCCACTCCTGTTTGGGGTTCTAGTTCTATAAATGAAATCCGAAATGTGTGCACACATCATCATCATTTCTGCAATTCTGGACAAGGAGAGAAAATTATTTCCTTTCTCCATAGCAACCTATAAGCCACAAGGCAGTTCACCCCAGAACTAGAATATGTGCAGCCCTGGGCTCAGTAATGACCATCAGATCCCCAGAACACATCTGATCCACATCAGTACCAGGGAGAACAGGGAATGGCAGTGCCAGGCAGCCCGTCTGAATGCAGGTGGGTTCGATCTGCATCTCCATGGGACTCCCCATCACACACCCGTGGCAGGACTGAGTGCCTTCATTTAAGAGTAAACTAAAGGGAAAAAGGTTTGGCAATTCCTCAAAAAGCAAAACGTAGATGGGAGGGAGGCGCAAGAGGGAGGGGATATGGGGATATACGTGTGCATATAGCTGATTCACTTTGTTATACAGCAGAAACTAACACACCATTGTAAAGCGACTATACTCCAACAAAGATGTTAAAAAAAAAAAGCTGAACGTAGAATTGTCATATGATCCACCAATTCCACTCCTAGGTATACACCCAAAAGAACTGAAAGCAGGGACCTGAACAGATACTTGGACACCAAAGTTCACTGCAGGATTATTCACAATAGCCGAATGGTGGAAACCACCCAAATGTCCATCAATAGATAAACAAAACGTGGTGTGTGTGTGTGTGTATATATATATATATATACACACACACACACATACATATACATACATTTATAATGAATTATTCAACCTTAAAGAGGAATGAAATTTTGATAAATGCTACAATACAGATCACCCTTGAAAACATTATGCTAAGTAAATAAGCCAGATACAAAAGGACAAATATTGTGTGACTCCACTTACAGAAGGTACCTAGAGTAGCCAAATTCATTAGACAGAAAATAGAATAGAGGCTACCAAGCTCTGGGGAAGGGGAGAGTTATTGCTTGATGGGTAGCGCTTCAGCCTGAGATGATGAAGAAGTTCCGGAAATGGACAGTTCTGATGGTTGTAAAACACTGTGAATGTACTTAACGCCACTGATTGAATGGTTAAACGTGGTTAAGATAGTAAATTTTATGTGTATTTAACCATAATTAAAAATAAAATAAAAATGAAAAAAGATGGCCAGTTTCACATTCTGTATATTTTACTTCAATTAGCCAAAAAAGAGAGAGGGAGAGAGATTCAGCACCTACGTCTGCTGCTTGCCTAACGTATCACAGCCCCCCAGGACTCACTATTCAGAGGAGGAACTTAAAAATCATGTTGTCCATTCTAAGGACAAGGAAACTGAGGCTCAGAGATGTGACCTCCCTCAGGTCACAGAGCTAGTTAGTGACAAGCCAGGTCTCAACTCCTGCCCTCATGCTGTTTTCTTTACATCAAATAGGCCATTTCTCCCCTAAAAGTGAGGCCCTCCAACATGTTCCCTGCTCACCACCTGCCCGGGAAGCCAGCAGGGTGGCCCTGAGTGGGTACAACAATGTCACAGTGCGAAGCTCCACCAGCCCCTAAATACCTGTTGCATCAATCTGTCACCAGGTCAAGGACTTTCACCTTTGGAATCTCTTCCCTTCATTAAGGGCTGATCTCCTGATGAAATCGGAGGGGAGGCTGGGATCTGTCTCCCCCCGCCACCTAGAGGTGAGCGCCCAGCCCTGTCCTGCCCCATGTGGCTTTACTGATGAATGTGTCTGGGTAAAGGGGTGACTTCTTGGGAAATAAGGAGCATCCTCAAACTGGAACAAGACGGGTAAGTTTTCCTGGGGGATGGGGATTATAGACCGAAAAATGGAAGCAGAAATTATTCAGAGCTCGAATCCCTAAGTTATTTTTTTTCTTTTCTGGTTGTCAGAACTGGGGTTTTATCAAATTGGAAATTGTATTAACAATCAAACAAATCAGATGGGGAGACGTTTCGAGGCTGAGGTGGGAGGTATTTGGTTTTGCTCCAATCACTGTGGACCACGATACCATCGTGTTCACCCTGGGGGTAGGGGCGGGAGGCAGAGGAGCGCAGGCGGCTGCCTCTTTCCTCGCTGCCCGAGGTCTCTCCTCACACTCCAACAGTTGGGTCTTGCTTTGAAGCCTGAGTTCCCTTGCTCCTAGCTTTCAACCCACCATTTTCAGTCATTTCTCCCACTGCTACTGCTCGAGTCCTAGCCCTGCTCCAGTTCTTCAGCGGCCAAAGCCACTGCAGTCTCTCTCCTCCACCTGAGTGCTTCATCTCTTGCTCCCCCAAATCACCTGTCACTGTCTCTAGCTGCCAATCACTGTGACCCATGGTCTCCACTTCCGCCTGAGTTCTACCTCTGCCGTTGCTTTAATTCTCAACCACTACTGTCCAAGTCCTTCCCACCACCCCTGTCCAGGTCTGTGCTGACTGCTCCGTGAGGACACTTGCACTCTGCTGCCTGAGTTCTCCAATTGCTCCAGCCCACGGTCGGTCTCAGTGCTCTGCCTGATATCTCTTCTCCCCGTTCCCACCCGCCAGTGTACCCTGCCCCCGCTGCTGGACCATCCAATCTATCCTTTCGACTCACGCCCTCACCCCCACAGGGGCTGTCACTACTGCTGCTGTGGAAGCTAGGCTTGTCATCCTTTCCTCAGACTCAGATGTTCCATGCTCGGAAGAGCCAGGCGAGGAGGGGGTGGGCAGGAGAAGGGCTGCCCCGGTGGGGTGCACACGCGTACCTGGGGGCGGCAGGGCCCAAGCCTGCCCTCAGGAGAATCTCCCACCAGTCAGCTGCTTGGGTCTCCACTGCCGAGGGCAGGGGGCTCCGGCCTCACGTGGGTTCTGGTTTGTTGAGGTCAGCTCAACCTCCTGGGAGCAGCTGGACCATCTCTGCATCTTCGAGGATAATGGAGTGTGGAGTGGGGCGTGGCCCTCAGAGTTTTCAGACCAGAGCTGCAGTTTCCAACCCTCCTGACTCTCCGCTTCTCTAAGTAGGTTCCAGGTACAAGGCAACTGAGGCATTTGGTGCTGGGGTGTGGTCAGGCCCTGACTGAGGCAGGCGTGGGCAGCTCCTCTGCGCACCAGGTGGGCACTGGAGCTGCGATGTGGCAGAGCAGGTGCGGCATGGTGTGGCCGCACCATGTGCAACCTGGTGCCTGCCACACAGGACTTCTGCACCCTGGATGCCTCCCCAGGACGGCTGCCGGGTGCAGGGCTGTTTGGCCCAGCTCATCTTGCAGGCCCAGGCCACAAGCCTCGGAGGAGATCCAGGAAGGGCTCGTGCTGATGAATCACCACCAGGTGCAGTGCCAGGTCCCCCTCCCCCGTGATGTAGCCGAAGACGAGGGGCACCCATGACAGCCCCCAGCTGCCCAGTGCCAGTTCTCCCGGGGGCACTGAGTCTGGACCCAGAGAGTCCAGGCCGCTGTCACACCATTCATCCACACCCTCAGCTTTCCCCAGGCATGCTACCTGCCTTGGCCCCGCTGTAAGTCTTCTTTTGGACTGGTGGTCTCCCTGAGGAGGGTGCCTAGGGAAGTGGGGAGGACCAGTGTCTCAGTTTCCTAAGGCTGCCATAACAAACTGCCACAAACTGGGTGGCCTGAAACAACAGAAAGTTATTCTCTTACAGTTCTGGAGGCCTGCTATGGACTGAATTGTGTGTCCCTCCCGCAAATTCACATGTCGAAGCCCTAACCCCCAGTGTGATGATATTTGAAGATGGGGCTTTGGGGAGTTCAGGTTTAGATGAGGGCATGAAAATGGGGCCCTCATAATGGGATTAGTGCCCTTTTACGGAGAGACACCAGAGCGCTTGCTGTCTGTCATTCTCTCTGCCATGTGAGGCCACAGTGAAAAGGCAGCAGTTGGCAAGCCAGGAGGAAAGCTCTCACCAGAACCCAACCATGCCGGCACCCTGAGCTCAGACTTCCAATCTCCAGAACCGTGATAAAATTAATTTCTGTTGTTTAAGCCACCCAGTCTGTTGTGCCTTGTTAGGACAGCCGGGGCTAAGACAAGGCCAGAAGTCCAAAATCAAGGTGTTGACAGGCTGGTTCCCTCTGGAGGCTCTGAGGGGGAATGGCCTCCACGCCTCACTCCTAGCTTGTAGTGGCTGCCGCAACCTGTGTCGTTCCGCGGCTTGTGCCAGCATAACTACAATCTCTGTGTCTGTCTTCAATAACCTTCCCCTCTGCCTGTGTTACCTCCTTTTATGTCTCATAAAAACACCTGTCATTGGATTTAGGGTGGGCCTAAAAGATGATCTGATCACAAGATCCTCAACTCGGTTACATCTACAAAGAACCTATTTCTAAAGAGTGTCACATTCACAGATAGCAGAGGTTAGGACCTTTTGGGACCCCTGTTCAACCCACTACAAGCACTAACGAAGAAGCCATGTGGGAGAGAGTAGCCATGAGCAAACGAGAGATCCTTCCAAGAAGCCCAGAGGGAGCCAGGAGTGGAGAGAGCATGCTGAGCTCAGCTCCTGCAGTCTCTCAAACCAGACTCAGAATATCACCTCTGC